AGTTCCAACCATGTTGCACAAACACAAACTGTTTGCGAAACTCTCGAAGTGTGAGTTTCACAAGTCACACATTGATTTCCTGGGATATCGGATATCTGACAAGGGGCTGGAAATGGACCCTGGGAAGGTGTGGGATGTGCTGGGGTGGGAAACCCCCCGCACCCGCTGCCAATTACAATTCTTCCACAGTTTTTCAAACTTTTACAGAAATGTTCTGCCCAACTTTGCCTGGATCAGTTTGCCTCTCACTGACTTATTAAAAATGAAAGGGAAGGGGCCAGAGGCAACCAAACCAAGGGCAACCCTTGCCTGGAGTAAAGAGTGCCAGGAAGCATTCGAATGCCTCAAGGCCTTGTTCACGTCAGACCTTTGTTGTTGTGCAGCCTCACATAGCAGGCCGCCGCCAGTCCTCGGATCCGCGCCGCCACCACATCCACTCGGCTGCTGTCATCTGGGAACAGGTGGCCCGATCTTTCAACAAACCTCATCACTCTGACCACAAAGTAGGAGAGTTCTTCCGGGTTCCCATCAAAGGTAGCTTTGATGAGGTCTTTCGGGCGAGGTACCGCGCGTTCTCTCAGACTGCCGGGACTTGGCGCTGGCACCGGGACCTCCGGCTGACCCGGTGGCGGGGCTTCCCCCGGCTGGGCCAATGGCTGGGGTGGGACCTGCAGAACAACTGGCCTCTCAGATGGCTTGGACCACCAGCTGCAGGATCGCCTGGATGACCTCCTCCAGGGTTCACTGCATCTGCCTTCTCTCTCGATCCGCCACCTCCATCCTGTGGGCCAGCTCCAGACCCTCCTCAGGGGACACTCGGCCGCTTCTCGCCTTCATCTTCTCCATCACCCAGGCCCTGGGTAATGGCTCAAATGGGGCCCCAAAGGAGGGGAACCCCCCTGCCGTGGAAAATCCCCAGTCGAACCAGCTGTCTCTTGGGGGTCCCTGTGTAAGCATATAAGTCTCTGCCGTAGAGTCCGGATTAAAGTGGCTCCAGCTGGAGCTTGGCCAGTAGCCATGGCCGGGCGGCCGCCGCAGCCCCGTCTGGGTCAAAAACACCAGGGTTGAGGTCGTCATAGGAACAGCTCCCATACCCGCTGCCGTTACCGAAGGCGTGGTAGTCACTGGGTCATGGGGGCGTCCGCCCTAATTGTAGCTGACGTCGGGACCCCCTTAGTGTCGTCCTGTTCAGTAATAGATTTCTCCTCGTCATCGCTCATCTCGATTATGGAGAGATGTACAGAGATAGAGAATGGAGGATTCCTAACAGAATGTCAGAATCCACAGCTAACAATGAAGTACACGCATTCAGGAACGGTTATACTTTTATTGCAAAGCTATAGATGCAGAAACACAGGCACTGTTAGGAATGGCCACAGCCACTAGAGCATAATAGGATATAGGGTGTTCGTATGCACCCCCCCATTGCATTGGCCAATTAGGGACCCTCCCGCGTGTGGGAGAAGTCAGGCAACTGTTAGGTGGCTAAAGCTGAGAACCAGGAGTCTCTCACGGTACATAGGAACGCTCCAGACAACACAACCTTCTCCTGCACATCTGTAGAGATAAGCGTTTCTCACCCCAAAGCCTTTTTCACGTCAGAGCCCATCCTCACCCACCCCGATGAAAATAAAAAAAATGATCATTCAAGTTGACGCGTCGGATGTGGCCATGGGGGGTGCAATCCTCCATGAGGGAGAGGATGGATTACTACATCCCTTAGCATACGTGTCAAGAAAGTTCAATGACACAGAGTGTAACTGGTCGGTGTGGGAGAAAGAGGCGGGGGCGATCCGCCTTGCGCTGGCTACCTGGCGGCATTGGCTGGAGGGAGCACGGCTTCCTTTTGAGGTGTGGACTGATCACAAGAACTTGGAAATGCTAAAAACGCCATGAAGCCTAAATGCTAAACAGCTCAGGTGGGCCGATTTCTTTTCCAAGTTTCAGTTTATGCTACACCATTTCCCCGGCTCGGCAAACTCTCTTGCTGATGCCCTGTCCCGCCTCCCACAACACGACAGCCAACGGGAGGTCATCTTGGACTCGGTGTTCATGCCTTCCCACCTGGGCAGGGCGGTGACTACACGTAGCCAGGCAGGCCCCTCCTCAACCCCTATGTCACAGGCACCCAAGCCCCCACCGCTGGCTGAGGTGGGCAGGACAATATGGCACAGTAAATTCGCCTCTGCCTTCTCGGAGGCTGAGGGGGATTTCGAACTCAGGTCCGATGGCTGCTGGTACTGTGGAAACAAACTGTTTGTTCCACTGTCCCTGCGGGGGGAAGTACTGCATACAGTGCATGGGTTTGTTAAGTCCCTTCAGCTCATGCAATGGCAAGTCTGGTTTGTGAAGTCATGCCAAATCTGTGCCATGAGTAAACCCGGGGAAAACTCCTGGATTGCTGCAACCACACCCGACTCCAAGCCACCCATGGGAGGTGATTTCCATGGACTTTATTACGGACCTGCCCCCGAGCAAAACAATGTCGGTCATTTGGGTTGTCATGGATTTATTCTCCAAGCAGGCACACTTTTATTTATTTAATTTATTTATTTAATTTTCAGTTTATATACCGCTCTAACCCCAAAGGGTCTCTGAGTGGTTTACAGACAATTTTAGTTACCTATCTAGGGCCACATTAAGTAGGGGAGTGACTGCCTACCGGCACCCAGGCAGCAAAGCTCTGTTGTTATACGGCTCTTCCAGGCGGGCTTCAGATGTTATTCTTTCTCAGCGTTCTATCTTCTGGCGCCTTGGGACGGGACTTAAGTCATCCCATTTATGTACCTGCCCATGGCGAAAGCCCTTGCCCAAGTGTTTTTACTACACGTCGTCCGTTTGCATATGCTCCCGACCAAGGTGATAGCCGATGGGGGGAGCTTATGAAACTGACGGGAGTCAAATGCTCCCAGCGCCTATCACCCCGAGACTGATGGACAGACAGAACGGGTTAACCAGACATTGGAACAATATCTCCGCTGTTTCACCAATTATCAACAAGATGATTTGGTAGATCTTCTGCTCCGGCTGAGTTCTGTTATAACAACACATGTCATTCCTCTACGAGACTGTCTCCTTTTAAGGCATTGTATGGATATGACAGCCCCCCTGTACCTTTTTTGGAGGGGACCAATGACTTGGGGCCAGGGGATGCAGCTCAATGGTGTCAACAATTACGGAACTTGTGGCTGCTCATTTGCAAGAATTTAACAGCGGCCAAGGAGGCCTATAAGGCTCAGCCTGATAAGAGAAGGGTGGAGGGTTGGGCTTTGCAGCCTGAAGATTTGGCGTATGTGTCTACTAAGAACATCAAAGTCCTACGGCCTAGTAGGAAACTAGGGTGGAAGTACATTGGTCCATTTAAGGTGAAACGGATTATCAATGATGTGGCTGTTGATCTAGATCTTTCTAAGAACCTGAGAAATCTTCATTCTGTATTTCATTTCAGCCTCCTGAAACGGCATGCTGGTTCAAGCACCTGGTGACTGTCACAACCTGTGCCCCCTCCTATCATGATTGAGGGCGAGGAACACTATGAAATTTCAAAGATCTTGGACTCTAAACGCAAACGGGGAAAATTGTTTTATTTGGTGGAATGGCTTGATTTTGGACCCCAGCACCTCGAATGGGTGGAAGTAGGGGATATTCAGGCCCCTAGACTGTTGTGCAAGTTCCATCGGGACTTCCCAGACAAACCGGGTGGTCTCCCGGAATGACCGGGAGATCTCCCAGAATGGGCGGGAGAAGCTGGTTTTTGAGAGGGCAGAATGTCAGCTATGCTGCCATGATGTTTATGGGCTGGGGTTAATTTGCTTGACCTGTGTACCAGCCGCTGCTGCATTCCTTCTTTGCTTCTGCAGTGCTTTATTATCAATGACCTTGGAGATTGCCAGTGTAGTGTCTGGGCATCATGTAACCGTGGGTTCGCTTTCGATTCCCACCTTTGGCTCTAATGGCCTGGGGCCCCTTCTCCCATGTGCGGGAGTCAGGCCAATTGGCCTATGGATGGGGGGGGTGCATACGAATTGTGCTTGTAGAAACGTTGCCATTCTTAACAGTGACCATGTTACTGCATCTATAGCTCTGCAATAAAGTATAACCTTTCTGACAAGCATGTACTCAGTTGTTGGCTGTGGAACCTGACACCTAAGTGTCACTAGAGACCAAAGTCAAGATAATTCATATTCATATGGATGTAAAAGTAAACCTGTAAAAAAACACCCCAAGTTTTACAAATACTGTGGACCACCAAAAAGAGGATATCATATTTTGGCCAAATAATGAGAAGACAAGGCAGACTAGAAAAGGCAATAATGCTTGCAAAAACTGAAGGCAGTAGGGAAAAGAGGAAGACGAAACATGAGATGGATTGACTCAGTAAAGGAAGCCACCATTTTCAGTTTGCATGACTGTTAATGATAGGACATTTTGGAGGTTGTTAATTCATAGGGTCACCATAAACCAGAAGTGAATTGACAGCACATCGTACACACAAAAGATAGGTCTTCCCTTTCCCCCTACATTAGGGGATGCACCATTATTTTCTCAACAGTGGGAAATTTGAATACAGCCCCATCTCAGGAGGAGATCAGGCACAGGAAGAAATGCCAAAGCAACAGCATATTTTGCACAAGCCATGTTACTGTCTTTCTACAATTCTTATCTTGGCCTAAGTCTTCCCATCCTGTTCTTTCTGTATTTGGTGGAGAACCCAGTTTAGCCGTGCAAATCCAACAATTCTGCCTATGCTGGAACCAAGGACTTGACGTCTTCCCTTGCTAATACTGGGTCCTGAACCTGGATTTGGCCTCTCCTCTATGCTGGAAATGAAGAAAGGAGGAAAAGTGCAGCTTTTCCGATGAAATAGTCGCATGCCAGAGCAAGTATGGAAGCATTTGCGAAAGAGAAACCCTTTGAAAAGTTTTACTCAGGCAGAGAGCCTCCAGTTCCGCAGGCCTCAGGACTTGGCAGCCCAGTCTCCCCCACAAGGCTAGCCTCAGTCATAGGATCTGCAGTTCATCTGTCTCTGATAGGCCATACTTGACTTTGTTGTCATTGAAGAGTTTGAGCAGAGCTTTGACATACATTGCGTGGTATGCATCCACTGTCCCACAGCTTGGCCGCTCAATCTTGGGCACAGTCACAGGCTCTCCAACTGAATGGTAAAGAGGAGAAGTGGTTAGGCAAAACTGTGGACACCCATGATGGCAAATCCAAAGGCAAATCCACTCTCTGTAGCCAGAGGCACTGCCTCTGGGGCACCCCACTCCTGACCTGAACCAGAGACCCACAAAGGTCAGGCCAAATGAAGCACCACAGAGCAAGCCAAAGCTCTGGCAAAAGGGTCTCCATTTTCAGATTTTTCATACAAGGCACCCCTCCAAGGCAATCTTCAACCTCCCCTCCTCCATCAGCGACAATGATGGCTGGTTCCTCCAGGTGTAGGTATCTGTATTTCTAAAGGCTACTCAGTTGCCACCTGGCACATAGCCCTTCTGTTTCCAGAACTTCACCTAGCTCTTTTGTGATTCCTATAAATCCTTTGTCTCAACACCTGCCTTTCCTGCCCCATCCCTCAGGATACCGAGATAACTAATCAAACATTCAAATCATTAATGATCCTTCCTGATGCTAATCAGGGACCCATTTACACCTTTTGTTTAAATCTGGAAACCTATTCAACTCACCTACACTGGACCATCAAGGGCCATCATATCTATTCAGATGCCACTGGTAGTCCCATTAAGGGTTATTGTGCAGCTAGACTCTGCCCCTCTGGGACACCACTGGTCACACCTGAATTACACTCTGCTTGGTACCACACCTACATGGACTCCTTATTGGTCTAGAAAATCTATTGTTCTCACCTTAGACCAGTCCCCAAGGCCTTCCATAGGTTTGCATTGTTTTCCAATGTCTATATCTGTCCAGGCACATGGCCTCAGATTTTGTGTGTCTGATGCCAACTGGCAGTTCACCCCTAAACCTTTGTCTTATCTCCATAGACCCCTGCACATCTGGATGAGCCATAGTCTCATCTCCATGGACCCCTGCACATCTGGACAGGTTGTATCACCTTGTAACTGATCCCTCTATTCACTGTCAATCACCTCTGCTTTCTTAGTTCTGTATTGCTTGCTCTTTTTGAGTGTTTAGTGTGCTTGTAATTAGGGAGATACTTTAATAAAAATTTTATTAATTTAATTTAATTTACTCTTTGATTTAATTTACTTTTCAAATTTGGAGTCTTTCTACTGTGCCAGAGCTTGGTATACAATTGGTATGTGGTCCCTGTCCACCTCTGGCCTGGCCTGCTGCTTAGCTAATTTCCTTCAACCACAAGGCCGGCCATTGGTGGTAACAGTTTAATGGTGGAAGATGCAGGCACACCCTGTATGTCTGAAGCATGTGAGTGCAGATGTAGAGGAATGGTTTCAGTCCTAAACTCCAATTTGTGAGTGTGAGTGAAGTGTGTGAGTGAATTTCTTGTGAGTTTGGCTCTAGAGAGCTGAAATCTTTGTGGGTGGTCTGCTCCCCCCTTTCACCTCCTTCAGCGAGTATTGGCTAGATGCCCCAGTTTGCCAAGATCCTTGAGTATAGTCTGATCACCAGTGGTTGATACTGTGAAGTCCTGGGAACCACATCTCACTAGGAGATTCCTTATTTTTATTTTTAGTAAAATATCTGGTTGGTTGTGGTAGGATATTCTCCTCTCACCTACTATCAGGGGTTGGAGGAGCGCAGGGGGCGGGGTGGTCACATGACTAAGCCCCGCCCCCTGCTCCCAGCAGGCCTCAGTCAGTGCCACGAGGATGCCAAAGAAGGAAGGTAAGTTCCTCCTCCGCTTCCCTGGGCCCTGCTGAGGTCTGCCCCCCCTACGTCCGTGGCACCATCCCCCTCCCTGCCTCACCCGCACCGCCTGGAGCAGCGTGGATGAGGCTCCCGTCCCTGCCTCGTCCGCGCCACCTGGAGAGGCATGTATGAGGCCCCTCCCTGCCTTGTCTGCGCTGCCTGGAGCGGCGTGGATGAGGCAGCCCCAGGAGGCCAGGCCACCCCTCCCTGCTTGCCCGGCAGGCTGGGTGATTTGGGAGGCACTGGCGGGGGCTTGGCGGAGGATGCGTGGCCATGGAGGTCTTTGAGGAATGGTCTGGCGGGCAAGAGTCAACGGCACGATCTCTTCCTCTCCCCCCCTCCTCCCCCGGTCAAAAGAGGGAAAATAAAAAAACAGTGGCAATCTTGTTTCCCCCCCTTCCCGATCACCACAATGCAGCTCAAGATAATGTTGGTTGCCAGCTGCAACATCGACTGCTTTTCCCTTGCCCCCGATGCAGGCAACTGTTTTCTGGATTTGTTCTCCACTTCAGTAGCTCACAGGTCATCAGTTATTCATCTCATGAGCCATTCTCTCCTCCCTATCCCTCATTCTCGCCCCCCCTCCGCACCTTCCAGTCTTCCTAGGCTCCTTCCTCCTCACTTTAGCTCCTGAAATAGAGAAAACTGCAAGAGCTGCTGTCTCCAATACTGACGCTGCCCCCTCTGTGCGCATTATCCTCCCCTTCTGTCACCCAGCCAAACTGTTCTCGGCCTCACTGCTGGACCTCCTGATGGCCCCTGGTATTTTTAGTCCCTGTGTAACAGTGTTGGACTGGAGGGGCCATTGGCCTGAATCCAGCATTGGCTTCTCTTATGTCCTTATGTCTGGGGCAAGGGATGCTCTGTATTCTTGGTGCTTGGGGGGGGACAGTGGGAGGGCTTCTGGTGTCCTGGACCCACTGCTGAACTTCCTGATAGCCCCTGGTATTTTTGGCCCCAGTGTAACAGAGTGTTGGACTGGAGGGGCCATTGGCCTGATCCAGCATTGGCTTCTCTTATGTTCTTATGTCTGGGGCAAGGGATGTCTGTATTCTTGGTGCTTGAGGGGGGACAGTGGGAGGGCTTCTGGTGTCCTGGACCCACTGCTGAACTTCCTGATAGCCCCTGGTATTTTTGGCCCCAGTGTAACAGAGTGTTGGACTGGAGGGGCCATTGGCCTGATCCAGCATTGGCTTCTCTTATGTTCTTATGTCTGGGGCAAGGGATGCTCTGTATTCTTGGTGCTTGGGGGGGAGGACAGTGGGAGGGCTTCTGGTGTTCTGGCCCCACTGCCAGACCTCCTGAGGGGACCTGGTATTTTTGGCTGATGTGTGACACAGTGTATTTATTTTTTGTATATGGTTTCCCATTTGTGCTTACCTTACAATAGTAGGCTGATCCAGTGCTAGGGGCAGGCTTTCTGTGCTGCTGTTAGTCCACCAGTGACTCTTAGCCACAAGGTATAGATAGGAACTCTCAGTGTGGGGCAAGTAATGCTCTGTATTCTTGGTGTTTGGGGGGGGGACAGTGAGAGGGCTTCTGGTGTTCTGGCCCCACTGCCGGACCTCCTGAAAGCACCTGGTATTTTTGGCTGATGTGTGACACAGAGTGTTGGACTGGATTGGCCACTGGCCTGATCCAACATGGCTTCTCTTCTGTTCTTATGTCTGGCGCAGTGATGCTCTGCATTCTTGGTGCTTGTGGGACAAGATTGGGAGGGCTCCTGGAGTTTTGGCCCTGCTGGTGGACCTCCTGAGGGCACAGGTGACCCCTTGACCAAAATACCTGATTGAGGCGACATTCGACGGGAGCCCTGACGAGCTGCCCTATTTCGTGGTGAGGGTGCAAAAGTTCCTAGACTGATCGGGGCACCTGTTCCCAGATGACAGCAGCCGGATCGATGTCGTGGCGGCTCGTTTTGAGAGGGGCCACGGCAACTTGGTACGTAGGTCTCCACAATACTCGGGGGCCCGAATTACGAGACATGTATGCATTCATGTGGGCGCTGAGGACCCAATTCGAGGATCGGAACGCGGGTCCGCAAACAAGAGCATATCTGCACACATTGAAGCATGGGCGCAAAACAGTGAGAGAATACTCAGCTGAATTCAAACTTCAAGCGTCAAAGCTACAAAATTGGCCAGACAACATACTAGCTGAAATGTATCGAGTTGGCTTGAACCAGGAGATCCGTGAGATGGTCTTAAAGTCGGTAGACCCCATCTCCTTGGGAGCCTGGATACAAGAAGCTGAAAGTGCGGAGAATCGCTTGCAAACTCTTCGCTTGGACATAGCCGCAGCCAGCGGCAGATCCACACCTCAGACCCCGAAGCCGAAAACTGCTTGGCCACCCGAAGCTATGCAGGAGCAGAGGATGCGTCAAGGATTGTGCCTCAAATGCGGGGGAAAGGGCCACTTTGCTGCAGACTGTGGCCAGAAGCCTCAATGGGAGAAACCAGAAGCAAGCAAGTTCCAGCCAAACCCTGGGAAGAAGGCGCTGAGAAAACCAAAGTTCGCCAAGGCTCTGCAGGCGTCCCCAGAGGAAGATGAAGCAAGACGGAACAGGACCCGGCGGGAAATGAGCAGGTCCTGCCGTAGAGGGCACGCAACGGCAGGACCCTCCAATGGAGGCGCCAAAAGTGGTGAGCGAACCCCCCTCCCTATTTTTTGTGACTGTGTCCTTAATAAACCCCATCCTTGGGACTCATGTGTGAGTAAAGGCACTTATTGATTCTGGGTGCGGGAGAGACTTGATCAGCCCGTCGGTGGTGGCGGGGCTAGAAGCAGGGGTGAAACGACTAAAGGACCCGTTAATATTCACTCA